AGGAGACACTCACCTGACATGAAATACTGTCGGAAATAAAATAAAAGACCTCCAGAAACCACAAGAAGAACCAGGAGAACCAGGAGAACCAGGAGAACTTTGGCCCAGGATGGATACCGTTCTGTGGAGAAACAAAGAAAATAACAATATGAACTCTGACCTACATTGAGATTCCTGACCTCTAACTCTATCCTTGAATCATATAATTATATAATCATATAATAACAATATTCTCCGGCTCTTTTGTTTTGAATGTCAGCTAAACTGTAGTCTATGAAACATTGCTTTGGCTACCAATTACTGAGCGATCATAATGACTATTTTTGGTGTCAGATCATTAAAATCTCTCATTAGAATTTTAAAAAACAAACAGCTTCTGACACATTTCTATAAAAATAAAAACAATCAGTTTCATGTTATTTATATAGCACCAAATCACAACATTCACCTCAAGGCACTTTACATATAACCATGCCGAAAACCTAAAAATATAATCTCCCATCATGCCTCTGGAAAACTTCTTGTTAAGTTTAAGGAAATTTTGTTTTCTATATTTGTTATTGGTATGCAACTCTTTTAGTTTTGTTCCTGCAGATGTTGCTGAATTGTTTTAATGCACAGCTGTTGTTAAGGTGGAAAAGAGATGTTACACCATGAGTGAAGTTATGTGCAGGGTTATTTACCATCTTGGAAGCACAGTGTTAAAAAAAAAAAAAAAAAGGAGCTCAGCCTTGTGTGCCAATGGGGTAAGAGGATCATCTAAAGAGTCAGCATCTAATTGTGAAGTCCTTGCTGTGTGATTCCTGAACTCACCACAATATCGAAAATTAGACCCTACATTAATATACACAGATATACATATATTGTTCTTATTTTCTTCAATCAGTGATGAATAGTAAGATGTTCTAGCTTCACGGAGAGCTTCCTTATAAAGCAACAAACTATTTGTTCAGGCTAAATGATGATCTTCTAAATTTGTGACACGCCATTTCCTCTCGAGATTACGCATTATCTGCTTTAGGCTATCTGTTTGGAGATTATACCACGGGGTCAAGTACTTCTGATTTGAGGCCAGATTTTTCAGATCTTTTTACTGCTGTGTAATTTATTATTGTAAATGTAAATATTAATTGGAAATGGTCAGACAAGATAGGGTTTTCAGGAAACAGTGTTAGGAGTTAGAGTTTCAAATGAATTGTCATTATTATTGATTAATTATTAAGTCATGTACTAACAAATGGTAAATGGCCTGTATTTGTATAGCGCTTTAACAGAGACTTGGAAGAGAGAGACCAAATGTTTAATAATCCACATTTCACTGTTTTACTCTTTGGTTCAGCTGTGAATACTGTATTGTTCTTTCTTTGTGATTTTTTATATTTAAGTTGTTTTTTGCTGGTAGTTTGTTTTTTGTATGTTTGGGAGCTGACACTCTCTATGGAGATATGGTTTTGGGGGATAACAGGAGGAGAGAAGCTGCAGAGAGGCGTGTAAGACTGCATATGCGACTGGCATAGCAGAAGGTGAAAAACTGTAAGAGGATCATCGTCTGCTGTTTGTAAACACTTTAGATTTAGAGCAAGTGACGCTAACCACAAAGAAATAATATCACAAAATGTTGTATACATTCATGTCAAAGTGTCTGCCTCCTTAAATCAAACTACAGTAGAATCTTTTGCTCATCTTTAACCATTATCATGACCAGCCCACTGAAAAGAAGAATACTGTGCATTCATTTCTGTTTTTACAGCTATTTTAGAGGGTTACATCCTATGTGGTGCTTACACATTAACATACAGTAAGTCTGGTCTAGGAAAGTAGACGAGACTTACTGTAGGAAAGCAAAAGTAAAGACCGTACAAAACTACAGAGAAAGCCCCAGCAAATATACAACCTCTGGCAGAACCAGGCTTTCAAAGCAGTGTAAAAATAGGTGAGTGAAGAAGAAACACTCAAGAAAAACTTTAATCATGCCTTCCATCTCAATCTTTTTGCCTACCCAATCAATACAAGTTATTTTCTCTTTCCTTATTATCCAGCTTCACAAACAAAAAACTAAGACTTTGCCACCTCTTTCTTTGCTGTACGCCTGGCCTCCCATTACTCCTGCCTACTTTCTTCCTCTAGCTGACCTACTCAGTTTGTCTTTGCTAATGTTTTCCTTTGAATACTTCTTGTGCTTTCTCATTCCACCAAAGTCTCCTTGTCTTCTTTTCTCTGTCCAGATGATACAAAAACACCATCTTAGAAGTTTTCCTCAGCACTACAGTCATAAGATGCATCAGAACTACTCCCTTAAATTTGACCTCTGACCTTTGTCCATAGTACTGACTTTTGACCTGTAAGCAGGTATTTGGGTTTGTTGCTGACCTTTGACCTGCAGCTGTACATTTTTCAGTCTCCTTTCTTCTCTTCCATCACCGATGGAGCAGGTGTAGTTGCCGCTGTCAGTCAGTTGTGGTTTTCTCAGAGTGAGGCTGAAGTTTCCGGTCTTCAGAGCATCATCCATCATAACTGTGCGCCCGCTGTAACGTTGGTTTTGCTCTCCAAGATCATCTCCTTCTTTTCGTCGTAGGTGAACAGATTTGTTATAAAGATCTTCGTGAGTCCACATCACTGTGGGGTCATCCTCAGGTATTAAACCTGAGAACTTACAGGGCAGTAGGACAGACTCTGCCCCCTCATTTACCTCCACCACCACAGCTAGGGCATGCTGGGAAACTGAGGACACACAAACAGAAACACAAATTAACTGCATGCTGTGGGTTTGTCTCAGAGTCCATGTTTATGTTGAGGGAACTGAGAGAACAGTTTACAGTGAGACAATTTAATTTAGACAGTGAAGTCAAAAATATATAAACATTAATCTGTTAAATGGTAAATAGACGTTATTTTGTATAGCGCTTTACTAGTCCCTAAGGACCCCAAAGCGCTTTACACATCCAGTCATCCACCCATTCACACACTGACTGACTGCTTGCGTGAGACCTCGCAAAGCTTAAAGAACTGTGCAGGATGTAATCCCCCAAACCAAAACATGGTTTGTTATTCATTTCAGGGGTCTGGAGGGTAAAATCATTCAGTTTTTTTGTGATTATCAATTATTTTTTTCTGGGTCTGGAGTAAATGTTGGAAAATAAAGCCTTGCACTACCACTTATGCTTTGGGGATGCTTCCCCTGCTCTTTGTGATAATTTCTTAAAATATTTTTCTGGAAAGATCTCAGCTCTAAGGGCTTCTCATTCATCTCATTCATCATCAGTTTTAGACCCAGTTCCAGCCTCTGAATGCTTGACTGTCTTTCAACAGTTTGAGCCAGTGTCTTATTCTGCTTTAAAAGATATAATTGATCATCTCAAAATCTCTGGCTCCCCGCATGATATTCTTCCTTCTCATTTCTTTAAGGAAGCTTTACATGTTATTGGTCCTAGTATCTTATCTCTGCTGAATGCATCATTGTCATCAGGTTGTGTACCGTCTGTCTTTAAGCATGCTGTTGTGCAACCTATTATGAAAAAAGAAAAATCTTGACCCTAATGGTCTCACTAACTACAGACCGATCTCCAAACTCCCTTTTATTTCCAAAATATTGGAAAAGGTAGTTCTAAAACAACTTCAGGCCTTTTTAGAGGTTGCGAAGAAGCAGACACATCAGATTTCAGAGGTGAATAAATCTGGATATCATCAGCATAACAGTGAAAGGAGATGTTGTATTTTCTAAAAATTAATCCCAACGACAATATGTACAAAGAGAAAAGAGCAGGACTGAGCACGGACCCTTGAGGCACACCACAATAAATAGGGGCAGAAGCCGAGGAGTGTTGCCCCATGGCAAAAGAGAACGACCTCTCTGAGAGGTAGGATTTAAACCAAGTTAAAACCGTACCTTTGAGACCAACATCATGTTCCAATCTTGATAGCAGAATATTGTGGTTAACCATGTCAAAAGCAGCAGATAAGTCAACTGAAACCACGGAATATCCAGAGTCAACAGTTAAAAGAAGATCATTAAAAACTCTAAGTAAGGCTGTCTCTGTGCTGTGGCAAGGTTTAAAACCAGACTGAAACTTTTCATTAATACCATTTGCATCTGTTCAACTGTTTGCATGAAGTTAAAATTTGGTTATCACATAATTTTCTTACATTGAACAAGAATAAGACCGAAATCATAGTCTTTGGTAGTCACACTCCGCTAGACCAGTTAGCTGATGCCCTAGGCCCTCTCGCTAGCCATCTCTCGCTCACTGTAAGAAACCTTGGAGTGTTCCTGGTGTCAGCCGGTGATCAGCTGATCACGGGGCAAGGTTTAAAAGAGACGTCACCCACCTGCTCGCCGCTCAGACACCGTTCTCTTCCTGTCAGGAGCTCCGAAACTTTGCCGACGTCAGTCTCCGCCTGATTCAGCAACCGTGAGTGTTTTTCCCTTCGATCCTTTTTCTCATCCCGGCTCCGCTCGCTTTTCCTCTGTAACGACAGTTCCGAAGCCATGCTTCGTGCGCTGATCGTTACTAGAATAACTGCGTGTCTGTTCCAGCTCAGCGCTAGCCTTCGCCGCGTTTGGGTCTAGCCAGCACGCCACATGGGCACGCCGAACTACTGTGTGTAATTCGCCTGACCGTGACAGGATGTCTGAGCCACATATAGACCCAGCGGAATTCGAACGGCTGAAAGCTGAAGTACTATATCTTCGCGGTGTGGTAGATCGGATGAGCACAAAAATGGAGTCCCTCACCGAAACTGTCCTCCAACTTTCCACTTCCGTCACCTCGCTGCAACGGCAGCCAGCGCCGGTGAGCGCGGAGCCCCGGATCGGACTACCAGATAAGTAGAACGGAGTTGATGGCCGGCCTGATGGTTTGCTCGCCACTCTAGACATGCTGTTTGAATGTCAGCCCACTAAATACGCCACCGCCCATGCAAAAGTTGCACTACTAACCTCTCTCTTGTCTGGCCAGGCTCAGGAATGGGCCGCGGCTCTCTACAACAACAAATTCGCAGCTTGCAATGACTATGCCCTGTTTGTGGACGAATTAAAAAAGACGTTTGTTCCCCCGAGCAGTGAAGTGGAAGTGGAGTCACAGCTGCTTCATTTACACCAGGGCAGTCGACCCGTCTGTCACTTTGCCTCTCAATTCCGCACCCTGGCCGCTAAACTAAAGTGGGGAGATACTTCTCTGCGTTCTATTTTTCTGGAGGGACTGGCTGATTACATCCGAGACGAGATGACCGGCCGTGAGACCCCAAAATCTCTGGATGAGGCAGTGGACCTCGCCCTGAAGATCGACCAACGAGTGATGTCGCAGCCTCGCCACACCCCTCGGGCCTTCAAACCCTTCCAGCCTCAGAGGGCCACGTCTTCGCAGCCTCCTCCCCCCTCTGATGGAGCCACTGCTAGCCCAATCAGTACATCCAGCGAGGAGCCCATGCAGCTGGGTAGACTCTCCAAAGAGGAGAGAGAGAGACGCTGGCGTGAGGGTCTCTGCGCCTACTGTGGTTCGGCTCGACACCGTCATCCCCAGTGCCCGCTACGTCCGGGAAACGACGACGCCAGGTAGACAGCGGGGGAGTCCCACCTGGCCCTTCCCACTCCTCTGACCCCTCCCGTTTTCTGTTACCAGTAATATTCCACCTGAAACACCAACAGGTCTCATCTGAAGCCCTCCTGGACACCGGAGCCGCTGAGAACTTCATCGACCAAAAACTAGCCTCTCGACTTCGCATTCCGTTGACTTCCGTCGATCGATTTCTCCCGGTGACCTCAGTAGAGCACGACGGAGGAGTTGGAGGGTCCTGTCGGGCCCCGGGTGACCAGAGAGCGGGGAGGAATGAGCCCAGAGCAAGGCCTCCTGACGGCACCGGGATGGTACATAGAGCCTCCCAGCAGGGGTGTCAGGCGGAGGTGGTTCGGCGGTCAGGGCATCCCGGATAGAGTCCTCCAAGGGCCACCGAAGGGGGGCAGCGAAGCAATGAGAAGGCTAGGATAGGTCCAGGGTCTGACGTGAGGCCGTCCTGGGCGAACTGTCTGGAGAGAGTGTCTGCCTTAGCGTTCTTGGAACCAGGGCGGTAGGCGAGGTGGAAATTGTAAGGCTCAAAGAATAAGGCCCAACGGGCCTGCCTTGGGTTGAGCTGCTTGGCAGAACGAATATGGATCAGGTTCTGATGATCAGTCCAGATCAGAAAAGGGTCTTTCGCTCCCAGGAGCCAATGCCGCCACTCTTCTAAGGCCCACTTGATGGCCAGGAGTTCTCGGTCTCCGACACCGTACCGTTGCTGCGTGTGAGAGAAATTTCCTTGAGAAATAGCAGCATGGGTGAAGTTTTCCATCCGGGCCGTGTTGAGAAAGGACGGCGCCAGCGCCAACATCGGAGGCATCCACCTCCACCACAAAATCTCTGGCAGGATCAGGGTGGAGCAGGACGGGGGCCAAGTGACCGGTGGATAAGGTCTCGGAATGCCTGTTTCGCACCTGGGGAGAGGCAGAAGGGCTTAGGGCAGGTTAGCTGGTTTGGTGAGGGATGTCAGTGGGGCGACAATGGTGCTGAAATTGCGGATAAAGCGCCGATAGAAATTGGCAAAGCCCAGGAAGCTCTGTAGCTGCTTAAGGCTGGAGGGCTGAGGCCACTGGGTCACGGCTTGGACCTTTTGCGGGTCCATGGTCAGGCCATTGGAGGAGATGGTGAAGCCCAGGAAGGTGGTGGACCGCTGATGGAAGGCACACTTCTCCAGTTTGCAGACTGG